AAAAAAAAAAAAAAAAAAAAAAAACTACAAAATCCTGAGTACTACCATCCAATGAACTACCATGTATAACTAGTACCGCATAACTAACTTATTCATAGATAAAAAGTGTGTACCTTTGATTTGAAAGCTGGCTGAATTTTCTTTAGGGCTTGAAGTAACTTTATCTCCACAGCAGCCTTCTCCGCTTCATCACCATCAGCAAATACATCAAAAATGGCATCCAGTGCTCCTCCAGAAACCACCAGAGAAGAATCATTACTGGCAACTCCAAGAAGGAAGATTCCTATCAACTGAAGGAGGAGACCAAAAAGGGGTTTTCAACTTTTACTTATTTAGAAAAAAAGCTCCCTGTGCCCCATAATGCATGTTTACCAGCAGCAAATGCTGTTAAAAGAAAAATCCCAGTCTTGCCAAGTACTCTAGCTTCCTCAAAGATGCTTTCTATAGATGCACAAAAGGAGGGCTGAGCTTGGGGCCATCATTTCTGTACAACCTATAGCAGCTATTATGATTGCTGGCAATCGATTGTGTGTGTGGCCATGACTATGTGCAGATACACAACTCAATTGTCTCTGATAATTCTACATTTACACTGTAATACAAAGCAACTCAATTAAAGAGACAGTGCTGGTGAATAATATGAATGGCTGCTCTCATATTTAATCGACATATTTCTGAATTCTGTTTTTTTGTGAATTGCATGCCATATATTGCATGCCATCCTTCACTTCTGTGACCAAATGTACTCAAAAGCAATACCTGGCATATGGTAGTAGGCTTCCTATTTTGTACTGTGGGCCCACTCAAAGCCCTAGCAAAACAGGTACCAAATCAGGCACATTTAGTTATCCTGCCCATTAGCCGCTATGGAACATTAGGACACAGAGCTACTCCAGTCAATTGGATTTGAGGAGGGAGTTTAGCTGTTTGTCAGTAAAATCCCAAAAGTAATACAATCTCTACCTCATTTGGTGGTGTGCCTCTTATTGTGGATAACTGGTGTATCTACGGTAGGAAAAGACCACCAATTTATGACCTCCCTCTCAAAAAGAAAAAGTTCTGACACACTGTCTGAAGGGGCCCCAGGACCCTTGAGGAAGTTTCTAGTCCTCCTAGAGGAAGCAGTCAAGTGCGGTGAAAAGGTCTTAGCAGCTGCAGGGGCTCCAAAAGACCCTAGGCCTTGAACAAGAGGCTGATCCTCCCGGGCTCAGACCATAAATCAGACCATAGATCAGCTGAATTTTGGGGTCCAGAGATCAAAGACAGAGGTTTTTGTGGAAATGGGGGAGGCCATGCCCTTGCCCAACAGAGTTGCAGGAGACTCTGACAAAGAGGTCTATGTATCTGTGGATACTAGATAAATTCCTTCAGAACCACTACGTGGCGTGTGCTGAGGGCATCCATGGCAGCAGGATTGTCCTCTAAGTGCCATGTTGCATCCACAAGGCAGTAATACAACTAGGCATAAAGTGAGGCAAGGCCTTAATACTCAGCAGCAGGTGCTGATGAGGGTTTCAGGAAGCTGGAGGTAACCAGGTCACTGTAGGCAGGCAGTGGAGATCCATGTGGCTCCTCCAAGCTGAATAGAAGGAAAGAGCATAGAGTGCATGCTCGCAACACTCTGCACAATGAATTACATAAATAAACAATCTCTCAACCTTAACCCTTACTGCAGTAAATTGTCAGTGACAGGAAACCCAAAATGGCACATAACAGTGCAGCAATGAGGTAGCTCCTGATGCTTCAGCCCAACTGGCCTTACTGACAAAGCGAGTTTCAGAGACAGGATCACACCTGAGGCTGCGGCATGGATCAAGACCCGGAAAGCGCTCCACAGCTAACTAACCAGCTAAAACATAAGCAGTGTAGCAAAAAAAAAAATCTTGATGGAAGTTATAAAAAAGGATAGTAAAAAAAGCTGAATTTTGTTTTCTATCTTGGGTAAAGAAAAGATGCCCAAACTCCTAGGATCCAGCAAAAAACTGAGACATGCTAGGTAGAGGAAAGGTTATACAGAGGCTGGCTTACAACTTTTTCGGTTTGCCATTGTCAAGTTTATTAGGTTCATCTATATATGCGTGTTGGGCTTTACAATGCATGGGTAGGGTGTATAGGGCCTAAATGGTAATTACCTATAGAACAGTTGATAAACTGACACTGGATATACCTAAATATTGGGAGTACCAGCTCCAGTTTCTTCTCTACAGAGATTTTCAATGTGTAAAAATAATAATAAAAAAAAAAACACACAAAACTACATAGTAACAGTTCTTGACGATTGCAACTTAAAGAGGTATATTGGGTTTTAATTTTTTTTTTCCTTTTTTACCTCATTTAGCAAATATGAAATTATGTATATTAATAAATGCATTTTTCTTTTGAGCCAGCAGGTGGAGCTTTATGCTTTTAACACTTCTGTGATGAAATAGCTTGTTTACAGATCTCAATAGCTCAAGCTGCAATTTGCATACACAAATGAATTATGCATTAGCAAGGACTCATCCTTTATACTAGGGTTCAGTCAGACGTTTGACAAAGCAATGCTTCAATGGAACCTACTTCTGCTATGTTGTCACTTCTGGAATGCCTAATCTTTTTTTTTTTTTTTTATAAAACGAAACCAAAGAAGCTTAAAAATTACATACTTAAAAACGCACACAAACTAATATGATTCCCTTAAGAAGAAACAGCATTTTGCACTGGATACAGACCTACAGGTATGAGTAAAATAACTTTTTTTTTTTAGTATTTTATCAGGAACTTAACTCTTGGAGTAGTCCAGGGCTTGTTAATGCAGAACAGGATGAATAAAGTTTCATGGGAAATATAAGGAGATTGTACCTTCAGTTTTTCTGATGTGTTTCCACTCTTAGCCAGTACGCTGCCTGTGATCCCCATAATACTGACTGCATTCACCCTTGTACTGCTGTTATTGCTGGAGACACAACCTTCACCAAAGCTCATGACTTGTTCTGGGGTCATACACTAACAGAAAAGCAGAAGGCAGAAAAATGTCAAAGAGAGAAAAGCAAAGAGCCAGTGAAATAAACAAATATTAACTCACAAGGATTAATCTTGTTAAAAAAAAAAAAGTGTAAGTGTGCAGAGTTCTAAAAACAAGCATAAATTTAAGAATATATTTTATATAAATTTTTTTTTTTTATAATACCGTTCTACTTCATACCTGTGGTATTCCTTTAGAGGCCATTGTTTCTAGTAGTGCTCGCAATGCACTGCTTGCAGCTTCTAAAAATTCATCCCGTTTTGGAATATCTGATGAACAAAAAAACTTAAGTGTGAGAAAACAAATAAAACGTAACCGTATCATGGGTTCAAAAGCCAAGCTCAGGCCCAATAATGGCATTATAAATGGGTTTATAAGAGTGTAAACAATACATGGATCCTTTGCTGTGCTCAGCAACACATTTTACCTTCAGCATACTTCTTACACAACTAAGTAAAGATGATAGATAAGGAGACATTTACAAAAAACAATAAATGAAATATATATTTTTTTTAAATCATATTTTTGGTATACAATTTTAGCCAGTGACAGTTCATATGCTTTTGGCCAGTTGCATCAAACCCTCTGTTTTGTCCTCTGTTTTTCTTCATCCATATTTTATGAGTTTTTCATAATGACACACGTCACTACAATGGAATGTGCAATCAAAGTTTACATACTGGTTTTTATAGCAAAGTATCATTCTCTCCACATGCTGCCAACACAGGTTTTTCCCCCCTTCATTTACAGTCTCTGGTGATGAGTGTACGTCTACCGCAGTCACGTGCACTGCTCTCAGAAAACATCAATTCCCAGTAACCAATATCCCTGCCTATTAAACTGCACATGTGCGGGAGGAGCTGTGTGGGCAATGACTGCATGAAGGTGAAGCTTCCAGGGCTATTATATGCTGTACTGGCTGCATTGGCGGATAATATTGTAGTCCATTTCAGGAGAGGCTAGAAGAGGGTGGGTACATTCCCACATATAGCACGACCATGTAGAACGAATGTAGCCACCCTCAAAGAGGAAGTTACAGCACAGGAGATTTAGAATACAGATAACGGGGCGTGATGGCAGATGCTTATTTTAGAAAAGTTTAAAAATATATATATAGATTCAGTATTTGTTTTGTCTATTGAGCTTAGTGACACTTTTAGCCACATCTAGATAAAGTAGATGCGTCATCTTTTTCCAACAGTCTATGCTTGCTTATTTAATGATATTATACAACACTAACAAGACTTTGCAGTGCTTGAGACTCAAGAGTGGTGGAGCAGGTGTACACGGTGATATGACCTTGAAATATTTATCTTGTTTTTTTTCTCTGGACTGTTTACTGTTCCTATTGGAAGTGAAGATACACATTAAAGACAAAAACTGTTTCTATGAATAGCACCTCTTAAAGAGCTAGGATATAAAAAAAATACTCACGCAATCTGTAAACTGGGCATGTTGGGTATCGTTTTACTCGTTGTAACCTCATCTTTTATATTTCATTAAAAAAATGGGTAATTTGTTGTGTTTTGGGGCATTTAATTAAATGTGTCACTAAATTTTGGGGTTTAATAAGGAGTTGCGCTAATATTGCGCAACATAAAAATTTTCAACTACCACCATTTTATTCTATAGGGTCTTGGCATTCAGAAAATATATAATGTTGGGGGGTTTTACGTCATTTTCAGGCCTAAAATGTGGAATATAACATGGGTGCAAAAATTGAAAAAAGGGCCTCAGTCATGAAGGGGTTAAACAAGTTCACAACATATAATAGCTGAGGGATCAAATCCCAGTCAGGACACTATCTGCAAGGAGCTTGCATGTTCTCTCAGTGCTTGCGCGGGTTTACTCTGTGTACTCCAGTTTCCTCCTACACTCTAAAGACGTGCTAAAGAATAATTGGCTCCTGTCTAAACTGGCCATGTATGTATGTGAAATAGGGACCTTAGATGGTAAGCTCCTTGAAGGCAGGGACTGATGTAAATGTACAGTATGTAAAGCTCTGCGTAAACGGTCAGTACTATATAAATACTAGAAATAAATATGTTGCTCGACTAGCTGGGGGTATAGGAGTCAGAACAGACTGCTACTAAGCAAAATTTAGAATGACTACCAACTATTAGCACAGGTATTCCAACTGCCATTCAGACCAGTATGTTTATAAAATTGTCCCCCATGCATGAATTATGTAGTTAGGGAGCCACCACCCCAAATTGATAATATTATTGGGTTTTTTTTATGATGAAGTGACTGGAGAACAAATGGAAAACAGGGATTTTGGCACTTACAGTAAAGTTAATTTTCCCAAGTTCATTAAGGGACAGTTATTCTGATACGGGTTATACTGCAGCCTACAGCAGAATTTAAACACTGGAAATAAAAAAAGCCAGCCAGGTAAACCCCCGCCTACTCTCAGTAAGCTTCAGTTTTGTAGTAAAACAGTACTAGGATTAGATCACAAAGACAGAGGGGTAAGGCCTTTGTCCCGTAATGAACTTCATGAAATGGATTTTACAACAAAAATCCTGTTTTCTGTATTGTTCATTAAGGGACACAGGGTCTGTAGTTATTTTGATATATAGAGGATGTCCAAAAGAAGTCCAACTGAGGGGTGGGCAACACAGCAAACAAAACCCAACAGGCCAACATAACAAAAAAAGAAAGAACCTGGGGCCAGCCTGCAGTTTTAATAGCTGCTTGAACAACCTTACGTCTGAAGCTGGTATGAAGCCTCAACACTCACCTGGAAAAACTTAGAAAACAAGTGTAGGGATGCACAAATACGGGTACTGATACAGAGCATTTTGGCGAGTACTCGCCCAAATGCTCCAATAACTTACCCAGGTACAGTGAGGGAGCATGGAGCCGGCTTCCTGGCCAATCAAGAAGTCAGGCGGTGGGTCATGACCTGCCTCCCGTCTTCCTGAGTGGCTAGGAAGCCAGCTGCACCGGTATCGGTGCATCCCCACTTTTCTCTATAGAGAATAGACTCCTATCCTCCTGGAAAGCTAGCCAAAATTTTGCTCGGAGTGGGAGGGGTTATACCTGGCAGGTTGATGGCTATTTTGTTTGCCAGTGTTGAAAATTGTGTTTTTCAGTACCCCAAAAAGTCCATAGACGATGCTTTAAGAGCCCCTACAGGTCATCAATTTAGAGATACGCATAAATATTAGCCCTAGAATTATTGCTCTCACTGTGTCGTGTGTGGCGATACCCAACATGTGTAACGGGAGCAACGATTTTGTACGTAGGGGCACCTGACGCGTGTTTACGTGAATACGCTTGTGCTCGTGGGGGCCTTTAAAAAATGCTTTTAATTACTTGTACATTTATTTTATTTAATATTTGTTTAAAACTTTTTTTTTAACTTTACTTCAATTGCTATCACATAGGGGGGGTTAAAAGCCCCCCATGTGATAGCATATTGGCAGTGACAGGTACTCTTTGAGGTGATACTAGGGGTCCAAAAGAACCCCAGTGTCACCTTTCCACCCTAAATAAGCTATTGAAGTGCAGATCACACTTCAATAAACGTATTGCTCGGCTTCAGGAGCAGAGTATTGACAGCTCAGGGCCCGGAAATGTGGCGCAATACGCATTCGCCACAGCTTCCCACCGACACCCGAGATGCCGGTCCCGCAGGAGGGGCAGCGAAGCCCGGAAAACACTGCGGGGGCGGGGACTTAACCGGCCCATAGAAGCGATCTTGTGTCAGCTGACCCGCCAGAATTACTTCTATTTTGAAGCCGACAGCCGGATCTACAGATGTAAACGGTGTCTACCATGTACGTCACTGGTCGCTAAGGGGTTAAAAAGCACCGATATACAGCACACTGAATTTGTGAAATGGAGAGGCATGTGTTCCTTTTCAATTGTGAAGTCTGTTATTTCCTTTGTGCTTGTGTGACTTCATCACATAAAACAATAGTATTATCCATTTGGATTGGTGGTTTCTTAAATCACACATTTGTGTTAAGGGTGATCCCGCGATCGTACGATAATCGGCAGGTGATGATCGCAAGTACGATCTGCCTGTCCTAGATGGGCAGATCGTATGAGATTTTAATTACCTTACAACCATCGCAGGATGAAAGTCGTGCAATGGTTGTAAGGTGTATGGGCACCTTTAGAAACTCAATATCTGAGGGGAATAAAAAAAAAGAAGGTGATTTGCAATTCAAAATACCTACCAGTTTGTGTGAAGACCAATTGTGAGAGGTGCTTAGAAAGTTCCTGTAATGCAGAAGCTCCTCCAAGACTCTCTATGTCCAACGCTGACAACATGTTATGCAAACTAGTCAGAGCCCGGCACTGTACAGTATACATCCTGCAACACAGCAGAAAATAGTGGTGTGAACACCAGCTGGAACCACTCTTACATGAAACCAACACAGAACTGGCAAAAACAAGCAGAATGAAAAAATGACAAAGAAGAAAATACTTTGTAATTAATGGCTTCCATGTTGCATTCTGTGAACAGATCTGTAGTGCGTTACCATCAGGAAACCAAGTCTTTTCAAAAACCTAAAAGAAAAAAATAAACAAATAAAAGACAATTTAATGTATGACAAAAAAACAGGATATACAATGAAAGTTCAGCTTTGTAACTTCCCCGTCCTTTCTAGGACTATAATATAATTGCTGCCATTCTAGCAAACCTCAATTTCTATTTGTGCTGGTTTCAGTTCTAGGGATACTTCAAAACATCCATATCCTATGGACTTGTCAAATTTTGCAGGGAGAAAGAGGTTAGTGCAAAGCTCTAGGAAGGTTTGTTAGCAGACAGATGCTAATGCATTAACAGTGGGGATATACAGCTGAGAAAAAGGTAAACTGAGAATGGACTAACATCACATTAGGACTGGGTCAGTTTTGGTTGGTGTAGAGCTGCCAATAGATGGGCAGGTATCTCCCCGAAGAACAGCTCAAGTAGTAAGACTGTGACAATAAAGCATGATGGGTACTTTGAACCTTTGTGTGCTCCATAGAAGATAACTGTATTAGACAGCTCAGTGTGCTCCACAACAGAGCAATGGATTAGACCTGGGTGGGCAAATCTCAGTCCTCCAGCTGTGGGGAAACTACAAATCCCATGATCCTTCTGCCTCTGGGAGTCATGCCTGTGGCTGTGAGAATCTTGCAATGCCTCATGGGATTTGGAGTTATTCAACAGCCGGAGGACTGGAGTTTGCCGACCCCTGAATTAGACCCCCTCACCGTGTGCTCCATAGAAGAGGGAAGGTTTAAACCTGCTCCTAGGCAAGTTTCAAGATAGCAAGTTCTCCCTCGTCAACAATTTGGATTGGGCAGTAAAAATTACTCTTCTTAATGCTTTCTAAAAGGCTATTTCAACTGATAAGATGAACAAGTTACTTGTGTAATTCACGCGGCCCTGCCACGCTGAATAGCCCGATAGAAAACACCCATTTTATGTTAAAGATGAACTCCAGGAAAAAGAAATATTGTGCAAATACAAAAAGGCATGTATATTTTTACTTTACTCTTAGTATACATGGGGAATTTTGTCCAGATCCGTGCAAAAACACAGCATGAAATTTTAACTCTGTGTAAGAACGCCATGTAATGCTGCTCTCTCCACTTGTGCAGGGTGACTGGTCTTGTATCTGCCCCCTCATGTAGTTTTTTTTACAGGCAGCCTGTCTTGGGTTGGCCTGGTGGGTCCCCCCACAGCTCCACTCTCTGCACAGACTATGTGAAGAACAGTGATGATGTAACCACTACTTTTACAGGGTATTATCTGGGTTTGTGAAAGCATTTCAAAAGTGGAGGACGGAGCCGCTGTCACAGAACTAAGGCCGAGCGGTGAGGGGAGATAGATTTGCCCTGTACCTTTTTCGGTATGAAGTGACCAAGGAGAGCCGAGTGCACTTCAGCAGACAAGCACAGTGGAGTAAGAAGCTGGCCTCCATCGGCCACAGATTTCTCCAAGCCCAAGTCACTCTCATCACTGCTAGAGAGCTCTTCCCATTCATCATCAGATGGATCTGAGGACAAAAAAAACACATATTTAACCAATTTATTGCAATAATGAGCAGTAAGAATTATAAAAAAATAATAAATACAAAAAGCAGCTATACCCCCACCCCAACAGGATCACACTATGAACGCCATTAATAAAGTCACACCAACAACATAGCAAGCCCCGGTCACATTTACTGACAAAAATTGAGCAATAAACCACGGAAGACCAGAAGAGCTTCTCCATCAAAAACAAAAAACCCGACATTCTTTAAACTGAAGTCAAACTCTGCAAAAGCTGTTCTGTTCTAAATATAAACTCATTTTAGGCATCAATCCTACATTTTGGGATGTTTTTCTCCCGATTATCTGATTTTTTTTAATGGTTTTTTTTTAGTAAAACCATAGCATCTATGCCTTAATTTGTATAGCTAAGACGAAAAACAAAAACAAAAAGTTGCACCTCCATGTATAAAAACGTTTATTTAAGTTAAAGCAAAAAAGGTATAGGTACTCAAAATGGTTGAATTGTCAATGCTTGTTATAGCCACATAAACAATATAGAGGAAAGCGATTTGTCCCGATAGATACCACAGCAGCCTCCTATCACATCACACAATCCACCGGCCGCTGTGAGGCTGGTTAACGCATTTCAGGGGCACACACCCTTCATCAGAACCAGAGCTTGCTTCACAGAGTGCTGGGTTTAAGACTGAACATTAGCCAGAGGATGTTTCCTCAGTGACTTCAAGTAATTGGTCAGCTACATGTCCTTATCATACTAGTTCAAGGAATTTAAGGGAGCGGGTGGATCGTCATTAAATCACGATTACACGGATCGTTAACCAAGCTCCTTAGGAGCCATATAGCACCAGCATGAGCAGCAATGCTGTACAAATTAAAAAGTTTTGTCTCTCTCAGCGCTAATGGGTAGCAGTTAATAATCCTACTGTAGTCTCAATTCCCTCGCTCTTTAAACTCTCGGGGGGCTGCTCGTCCAAGGGATCAGGGACTCCCGTCATAGACCTACAAGACAAAAAAAACAAAGGACCGCCTCCATGTGTAAAAACTTTTATCAAGTTAAAACTAAAAAGGTATGCTTGTTATAGCCACGTAAACAATATAGAGGGAAGCCATCCCTCCCGACTAGATACCACAGCAGTCTCCGATCAAATCACACAATCCACCGGCCGCTGTGAGCCTGGTTAACGCGTTTCAGCGGCACGCACCCTTCATTAGAACCATAGCTTGCTTCAGAGTGCTGGGTTTAAGACTGAAAATTAGCCAATCAGAGGTTGTTTCCTCAGTGACTTGTAATTAAGTGATTGGTCAGCTAAATGCTCTTATGCTAGCTGAAGGAATATCAGCTTGAGTAACACGGTTCGTTAATCAAGCTCCTTAGGAGCCATATAGCATATCATCTAATGATTGGTGAAGAGTATAACATGAGACGAATATGTGGCTCCAGCTGATCATTAGCATTCTGACACTTCATATTACTCGGCAACATTTCATTTTCTCATTCCCATTTTACTCTGTAATGCTTAAAATTATAGTTGCACCAACACACAAATAATTCTTAACTAGATGTATGAATTGTTACAGTATTACTACGAATTTATGAATAAATAAGTAATTTTATTGGTTTATTAAAATGTATTAAATAATTTAATTTAGAACACTCATCTAAAATGAATTACTTATTCGTCAATTGGTAGTAATAATTAATTAGTAAATAATGTAACAATGATATTCCTCTCCGATATTCCTTCAGCTAGCATAAGAGCATTTAGCTGACCAATCACTTAATTACAAGTCACTGAGGAAACAACCTCTGATTGGCTAATTTTCAGTCTTAAACCCAGCACTCTGAAGCAAGCTATGGTTCTAATGAAGGGTGCGTGCCGCTGAAACGCGTTAACCAGGCTCACAGCGGCCGGTGGATTGTGTGATGTGATCGGAGACTGCTATGGTATCTAGTCGGGAGGGATGGCTTCCCTCTATATCGTTTACGTGGCTATAACAAGCATACCTTTTTTGTTTTAACTTAATAAAAGTTTTTACACATTGAGGCGGCCCTTTGGTTTTTTTTGTCTTGTAGGTCTATGACGGGAGTCCCTGATCCCTTGGACGAGCAGCCCCCCCGAGAGTGTATTGAGACTACAGGAGGATTATTGACTGCTACCCATTAGCACTGAGAGAGACAAAACTTTTTAATTTGTTCTCATTTAATTTTGCAGCTCATGCAGGTGCTATATACTGTAAACCATTTAAAAAATGCAAATATATTGTTTATAAAAAAGTACAAACCATTACTGCAGCACATGTTAACAATCATTTCCAGCGCAGATTTCTGAGCCACCAACAAACAAGAAGCTTGCTTGAGCTCATTATTGGACACCTAAAAGAAAAATACATTCATAGTTACAACATTCATGTGATGGTGACAGTGCAGTGAGAGGAGTGTATTTTCACAGTCCAATGATCAAGGTTAAAGGCATCGGCACCTGTTTTTACCACAACCTTTTATTTAAAGAACTCAGGGAAAAAATTATTCTTAACCCTTGCAGTGGGGAGACCCCCTCGCTGCGAGGGTTAAGTGCTCATTTTTATCTAGGTTGTAAAATACACACACACATACATACATACATACATACATATACACACACACACACCTGAAACTCTGAGCCAGCTGCCTGTTAAACCGGTCCACACAGCACTGTGGGCCAGCGGTCTGAGGATCCTTAAGTCATCAGGCCCAATACAGTGTATTGGCCGTGAGGATGCCAAGAAACATATAATAGCTGCAGCGGAGGAGGAGACAAGCTGTGGAAATCAGTCTAGGAGCCAGGCGGCTCTCAGGTTCAGGGGAGTATAGCTTTTTTTATTTTACACCCTAGACGAAAACAAGCACTTAACCCTTGCAACTGTTAAATCATTTTTCCCCAGAGTTCTTCTTCAAGTTTCGCTCCCACTAGCCAAGACCAAGACCTTTAAGAGTTGGATAACTGCAATCGAGAAAAATCTAGATTCCTGCCCTTCCAGACAGGGCTGCACCATGCGAGAGAGCTGCGTAAATCTAAAGACTGGATGGACAGAAATAATAAGCCTATGGCAGGTAAACAGCTCTCATACTGTATATGTATATCATGTGCGTGCAATTACAGGAAAGTACCTAAAGATGACAATTACTAAAATGAACAGGGACAGACTTCTGTTGTGGTAAAGATTTTAACTTTTTAAATTAACTCTTACATTTGCCAGGAATAAAAAGGTTCATTCACATTTAACATAATCCCCATTTTTCTCTAATTATAAACATTTACAGTTTAGCTGCAGTCGCAATGACGACTGGATAGCAAATGGCTGTCACACCTATATTTTATTAATACAGGTCACCAATTAGGAAAGATGGGAATAAAGTGCTGGAAGAAATGCTGTTACGGCCCTTAAAGTGACATTAAACCCTCAGATTTTTTAACATAAACCAATACTGTAATGTGTACCTTACTGTAATCCATGGTAGTTTCCCTTCTCTTTGCTGCTCTTCCTTTTAAATCCTTATCTCTTCTCATGCTAGGGGAGAACTTCCCTTTGCAGCTGAGTGCCTCTTCCTGTAGTGCTGGCTCAGGTTGTGAACCTACACACAGACACCATGTATCCATTTCAGAGACAAGGCAGTCTGCTGCAAAACAGAAGTTCTGCCCAGCCCGAGAAGAGATACGGATTTAAAAGGAAGAGCAGCAAAGAGAAGGGAAACAACCATGGATGCAGTAAGGCACACATTACAGTGTTGTTTTATGTTAAAAAAATCTGAGGGTTTAATGTCACTTTAAGGCTGGGTTCACACCTTTGTGTTATTTTATGCTCGTTTTTTTAGTTCAGTGAAACTCGCGTTTCACTGGCGGTATGATATATATATATATTTTTTTCCCTTTATTTAAAAATTTTGTTTCACTTTTAAACCCGGAAGTCGACAGCCGCCGAAGACACAGCGGGGATCGCGGACAAGGTAAGACATGTACGCGGTATTCACGAGTGTGGCTCGGGGTTACCGCTTGGTTAACCCCGATCCTCACTCGGGAATACCAATGGCAACGCGCGACAAAACGCCCCAAATAAGCTCCTGTACTTCTTTGGGCATAGGGCGTTTTGCAGCGCATCCCTAAGCGCTGTAAAACGCCCAGGTGGGAACCATGCCCATAGGCAATAAGTGGTTTTCACATGTTGAGCATTTTACAGCGTGTAGGAACGTGCTGCAAAAAGGCTCCGGTGTGAACCAGGCCTACAAGGTTTTGACTCGATTGAGACATGCATTTCTAAGGCCTGCCTAAATAGGTCATGATTTTATCATGGCGACTGAAAGCAAAAAAACACAAAAAAAACAAAACCAAAAAAAAAAAAATTGATATATATATTTTGTTTAACCTACTGGATTCAAGTCAGAAAAATCTGCACGACCGGTGCCTTTATTCACACCATCTTCATTCAAGGAGATTTCTTCAAGGTTTGCTGCAGCTTCTTGTGCTTCAACCTCTGACTCTGCTGCTTTCAAATGCAGCGATTCAACTTCTTTCATCTTAACAATGAATTTCCCAGCATCCAGAGACAGCACTTCTGACAGTATCCTCAATATAGCATTTATAGAGTCGGCCTGGCTGCGGGGAGGGATCCTTTCTTTTAAGTTCCAAACAGTACCTGTTGATCAAATGTAAATAATAAATGCTAACAAAAATTCCAGACAGCAGAAAAAGCAAATCAACAGAATACATCCAATAATCAAACACACATTTGTAATCCAAATTTAGGGTAACATTTCTTCACTCAGGTCTTCCTCTACTATAGCATGGGCTCCATACTGGATGGAAAAAGTAACCTCAATACCGGAAAATTAGATTTTAGAATTACATATACATTAAAGCTGAAGTTTAGTCATTTTTT